TTTCATCGAAAAATTCCACCCGGAAGGCGGCCAAACGCCGCCGTCCGGACGGCGGTTCCGGTCAGGAATTCCTGACCGGAAGACTGCTCTATATATATATATATATATATATATATATATATATATATATATATATATATATATATATATCTGTTTGACTACTTGATATATCTCTAAAGTGTGTATGATAAATATGAAGTTTGAAATGCCATTATCATCATACATAAGATCCGTTAAAGAATTTCACAGTATAAAACAAAGTTGCAATCAAGTAAATCAATTCTTCTCTCCTTGTTAGGAATAGCAAAAGCTCTTGGGTCATTGTGTAATATCTTTATTGAACTTTATCCATTGCTCTTCTCTCATGGTCTGACATTGTAAATGACGAATTAGTGACACTATTATTGGCACTTTTGTAATACTTATTTGTATTCACCTTCTTCCTTTAGGTGTTGGAGTGAAGTCTCTTTCTCCAGGAGATTGGGTTATTGCCTTTTCATCAACTACAATCATGAAGATTATAAATTTATGATCTTAGAAGTTTGAAATGCAGAGTTTTAGTTTTATTCACTTCTTTCTCTTCCAAACTATCATAAAATGAAATTCAAGAAGGTGAAGAAAACACAAGAAACAACCAATAGAATCTTTGAATAAATTTGCAAACAAACACACAAATATCATGATTGTCAAAGGAATGCCACTTATATGTAACTTCAATTTTGGATTAAAAACAATATAGATGATCTTATTCATGAGAATTTATCATATTCATTATATTTGTAAGAGAATGAATGTGATGTCCACTCCTTAGATACAAAATGAAGAATGGCATACTAAAAATTCGATAAAAATCATGGCAACTACATTCACGGAAGTATAAATAGATACACTAAAAATTGAGTGAGATAAAAAATACAATTTCCATTTTATATCTTTATTTCAAATACTGATTACAACAACAACAACAACTCAGCTTTAGTCCCAAAAGATTATGAGGTAATAGGACGTCATTCTTGTGGATGGTTGTAATTATAAAAATATTTATACTTTCTACTCTTTCTACCTAATTCGATTTTTAATTCAAATTATAGTTCAATTTTTTGGATTTAATTCGATTGAATTTAACTTGATTTACTCACCCTACATGTTATATTCGCATCTAAAATAAACAACATATTACCAACTTAATGACAAACAACACGACTCACAAATAATAATGAACTTTTAAAATTTTTAGTTAGACTATTTTAAATATATGAGATATGTACTGTAAAATTTATGCTGCAAACATATATTAGTACTAATAGACGTCTAAACTATGTGTTTGGTAACATAATAGGAAATTGCCTCAAAGAAAAAATGAAATTCGTAAACGAAAACTATCAATTACTACGCAATTACCACGACTACTGTCACAAGCTAGATTACTTATGTGTGTGTGTGTGTGTGAAATTATGAAGGGCATTTATATATGTAAAAAATGTTTCAATTTTACATGTAGGAGTGTATACCTCCTATTTATAAAATTATCAAAAATAGGAGTTTTAAGTTTCTGGGAGTGGTTCCAACTTTTGCACTTTTAGGAGTTTTTTGGGGGTTAAATATCAAAATAGGACAAAAAGTTGGTCGATTTGCACAAATAGGATCAAAAAATAAATTATGTTTCATAGGACTAAGTATGTGTGTGTTGGACAAATATACCCTTGTAGTTATTGAAGTGTTTTAATTCATAATAAAATAATAAAAATTCATAAAAACATTAAAAAAAACTAATTAAAATATTTAAATAATTATTATTATTATTAAAAAACATTTAAAAAAAATAAAAATGAAAAAAAGCCGTCTCTTCCACCCCAGCACCACCACATCCGGTCACCGGGAGTATAAAATGCCACATGCATTAGGAATGCCATATTTATGGCAGATTCAATGAAAATTTTGGCATTCTCAAATAGTAATATGTCATTTATTGGCATTTTTTTAATAGTAAATGTAGTCACATTTTTATCCATAAGTTCTATTTAGTAATATTTTCAGAAAACATGTGTTATTTATTTATTTATATGCATCTTAAACAAAATAGTAAGATGATTATCTTCTTTGGATTTGAATTGTTGGTGATTTTGAAGAGTAATATTTGTGTTATTATTTGATATTTGTATTTTTAATTAAATTTATTTGAAAATAGGTTTTAAAATATAAAAGAACAATGCGATGATTTCACGTTCGAGTTTTAACCGGCCCAACCCGAACCTGGACCGAACCCGGGCTACCAAAAAACCGACTCGGGCCGAATATAATGGGCTTTGTTCCGGTACCCAATTTTCATAACTTGAGACCTTCCGGGTTTGGCAAAAACCCGACCTAGACCGGACCGATCCCAACCCTACTGGCGGTGAGAAACAAACACAGTAAGTCATGTACCATGGATTGCGCGCTCATAACTCATCATCCCGTAGCGATTAGAAACTCTCTGATTAAGCATCCGTTGAAAGTTAAAGCTTTCGCCGTCAAGTGTTCATCTTCTTTCGCTTCTCCTTCTGCAGGTGAACTATTCTGTCTTTCTTCTACCACATCTCTAAATTCATCTTCTAAATCTAGTATGTATTCTATGCAATGCCCGGGGGAAACATTTCACATCCTATGTGATCTTTATAAATGAAGGTTTTATGATTGATTGATAAGTTTTAAAGAAAAGTGTTCTACAAGTATATTTTGTATTGCAAATACAAATGTAAAACAAAAATATCAAATTGAACAAATTTTCCTACATTGAATTGGTATATAGAAATCAAACACTATATAACATCTTGATGTACCATTGCTATCAAGTTGATCTTTTAGGATTGAATCCCCAAATTGATCAAAGTGATCGGTGGGAGTTAGACCAGCCAAAAATAAGGTTGGAGAGACTCAAATTCAGGGAATGCAAACCAGACAGATCAAATAGTGATGATGGAATATGTGCAAGAAACGTAAAATGTAAACATGTTTGGTTACACGCCGCCCCAAGGGTGGAAAACAACAACGGACACGCAGGCCCGGAAAGGTGCTTGTCATAAGTGTTTAGAAGAAGAAATGTAATTACCGACCAAGGAGGGAGGAACTTTCGGAGGGGGATCAGCCATGACAGGGCTCTCTTGGGGGTCTCCAGGGCTCTCTTTTGGGCTTCAGGATTCATCATCACATTGGGCAGTCCCCAAGCCCGGGCAGAGAAGGAATGATCTTTCTTCTGCAGGGCCTTATAAAGAGACTTCTGCATGTGGTACTGGCCAAGCTTGAAGCACAGGGTCTCCTCTTCATCCAGCCTAGGCTCACCCTCTGGAGTTAGAAGCCAGTCCTTCCTGGGCAATCTGAGCTTAGCGGCCAAACAGGATTTGTTCCACTTTCACCCTGAAATCTCCACTCTCCTGGAAGGCTTGGACCGCAACAGGGTCGGCCCTTCCGATTTCCTCCTCAGATCCCCCTCCACGATCCGATGAGCGACCTCAACATCATCAAGTCTCTTCTGCAAGGTCCCGACCTCCTTCACAGCTGTCACCCTAGCCATTTCCAATGAACAAGGTTGGAACTGGTTGATACATCAATTCAAAAAAGAAATGAAGACAACTACATGATCAGGCGTCGTCGACCTGATCTGAATTCAAGCACAACCACCCCATCCTCACCTACATAGTGAGTGGCCCATCAGGAAGAGCGAGCCTTCAATAAGCAGCTTGGCGGCCTGCTCGATCCCTTCTGGCAAAATTGGCATCACCCACCTCCGAATTAGCTCCCCCAATTGTTCTTGAACAGGAGCTTGCTGTCTACCGGAGTGACCCAAACCCATTTATACCTCCAGCTCTTAAAGGAATCCGAGTATTACATGATAGGCTATTATTTGAGCATAGTTATCTGGTAGTGGCAGGAAATAACAGAAGAAATGTTGACCTAGAGGAACAATGATTGCACAACATTCGAGACATTACAAGACTCTTATTATAATTAATTGCATTTAATGTATCAGTTTGCTCTAGAATACTAGAATCAAAGGTCTATAACTACTTCATGTACACATCCTATCAGGGATCTGAATTTCAGAATAATAATACTTTCTTACACTGCATAAATTTTAGTTGCTCTTGTAGATTAGCTCTCGTAGTTGGATTTAAACTCCATCAAATTCAAACATTTACTTTCCAACTTAAAATGTTTTTACTTGGACTAAAATTTGAAGGTTTGGTCTGATCTTGTTTGAACTAGTAATCTAGTATGGTTTGGTCTGGTAAATGTTCGGCCTCTGTATATTTTATAACTATGGAAGTCTGGTCTGATCTGTTTAAGTTTGGTCTGATCTGTTTAAGTTTGGCCTGATCTGGTACAGAAAATAATCCAAGTAAAAACATCCTTAAAGCTATTAAGAGCTTGTTTGGTAGCTAATATATTCAACTTATCCGTCTTGATTAGTCATTTTAGATTAATTTATGATATAAAATCAAGAGATTTTGCGCACAAAATTATATGTTAATCAACGTAAGTGAGTTTTACATTACTTTTGTAATTGAATTGATTGAAACTACTATAGAAGATCATCGTAGTCATTTTCAAAAGATTTTTTCTTAATTTATCATCAAAAAATATTTTAAATCTAATATTTCTGCAAATCGGCAAATTAGTGAAGCCGACCGACTCAATTAAAATTTCATCAATTTCAATAAATTCAATCCATTTAACAGATTTATATGTTACCAAATGAGTACTAAAAATGCAATACTCCATATAAAACCCAATCATGCTTCATGTACACGTTTTTTGTACACACCTTGTTACACGTCGGTCGAAGTTTATGTGTATAAACCAATTTTTTCGTTTTGTGAATGATTTTTTCTGCACAAACACTTTTTTTGTCTATGGCAGTGTCAAAAAATCTGTTGATGCGAAAATCAACGTTCTTCAGAAAGCGAAAAGAAATTGTTTATACATAGACAACTCGATCCACAATAAAATGTTATGTACAAAAAACAGGTGCAAATAGCATATTCCTAAAATATGCCAAATTAAATGATTTAAAGTAATTGGTCCAAAGTGTTTGATCCAGTCCAATATCATCTCTGTACTGCTCAATTGCTCATCTATCGGCCAGACGGTCTTAAGCGATATTGCTCTCTGCGCTTCCATATCCTCTTCCCCTTAGGTCGGACGCAGTCGCGCGCCATTCGTCTTATGTCCTGAGGTTAGTCGATTATTACTGCTAACTCTCTTCTTATTTTAATTAATAAAATCAGCAGTCATTATATAAACGATGAATAATTTCCTAAATTAAGGAGTCTTAACTTGATAATTTTTAAAATACGTTAATCAAGTTACTATTAAAGCACTGATAAGTGTGAGGCGAAATCCTCAATAATACAGAGTAATAATAATAATGCGATGAAAAGAGAACTTGTAAACCGTCCATTACATTGGTTTGCTTTGCATTCTAGGAACTGACAGTGAGAAACAAAAGCAGTATCCATGGATTGCGTACTCAGAACTCATCATCCCGTAGGGATCGGAAACTCTCTCATTAAGCATCCGTCGAATGTAAGAGCTTTCACCGTCAAGTGTTCATCTCCTTCCGCGTCTCCTTCTGCAGGTGAACTAATCTCTCTTACTTTGACCACATGTCTAAATTCATCTTTTAAATCTATTCAACCAATGCGCCATGTGATAGAAAATTGATCATATTTCGGTATAAGATTATAGAACCTTTTATTTCTATACTATGACAGTGAAATGCTCCATCTCAAGCCATCAGACCTTTTGTTGTGTTTTATTTAGAGATCCATCCAGAATGATGTAGTTTTAAGTTACTTATTATTTTTCACACAAAAAAAAACTTGAAATCTAAATGATGTTGTAAATGATAATGGTTCCTTCTCTTTCAATGTAACAATGTTTGCTCAGTACTAAACTACTAATACCAGTTCCTAGGACTGGAAGCAGGGGCGCATTGCATTCGCTTACTCTTTAAACACTTTAATTTGTGTTTCTTTATAATTAACTGAATTATACATTAAAGCATGACTTTCCTGGATTCGCTCTCAGGAGTGGTAGAGAGGCCGTGGAAGGTGGCAGATGCCAGACTTGTCCTTGAGGATGGTTCAATCTGGAGGGCAAAATCATTTGGTGCTTCTGGAACCCAAGTCGGGGAAGTGGTTTTCAATACATCATTAACAGGGTGAGGTTACTATGAATTTAGAAAAGATTAAAACATTATGTTTTACTTTTCAGTTCATGGTATAAGTTCATTAATCAACGCGTTCAATATTTATCATCATAAGCCTCCATTTTCCCTAACTTTTTAGCCTTTTCCTGAACTCTAATGCCTGTGAGTATTGGTCTATAGTATTATGCAACTCATATATATAAGTGTGTATTGGCAGGTATCAGGAAATAATTACAGATCCTAGCTATGCTGGCCAATTTGTTTTGATGACCAATCCTCATATAGGCAATACTGGTGTCAACTTTGGTTTGTATTGTCTTCTCACTTACCAAGTGTTATTTGTACATTATACTTCAAGAATTGCACCTCCCTAAATCAGAATCTCATCCTGAAGAACAGATGATGAAGAATCTAGGAAGTGCTTTCTAGCTGGTTTAGTCATTAGAAGTTTGAGTATCAGGTGTGTGATGTATTACTTTTCATGAACTGAACATTTATCTCTCACTCTCTGTGTGTGGATTCCATTGTTGTGGTAGTATGTTAACCATCAGTTATGAATCGTATCAGCACGTCTAATTGGAGATCCACAGAGACACTTGGTGAATACTTGGGTGCTAGAAATATAATGGGAATCTGTAAGTCAACCTTAGTATGACCATGTTCACATTGCTAGAAAGTAAGAACCTCGCACTTACAATATGAATAATATATACATTAATATGTGTAAAATACCCTTTATCAGATGATGTTGACACTCGTGCAATTACTCGAAGGCTTAGGGAAGATGGAAGCCTTATTGGTGTGCTGACCACAGAGGACCATAAAACTGATGAGGAACTTCTAGAAATGTCCCGTACATGGGACATTGTTGGTAGGCTTTTATTGTTGATTAGTGGATTATTGGAAAGAACTGTTGGAATATAATGGATTGTAATCAAGCGTATGTGTAAAATTTGCATTAGAACACATTTTATTACATTGCGTTGGCGTTGCATTATTACTTTATCAAACTTACCTTTGTTTATGAATAACAATTGCTTGTTTCTTGTGACTTATGCAGGAGTGGATTTAATTACTGGGGTCTCCTGTGATGCTCCATATGAATGGGTTGATAAAACCCACTCATCATGGGATTTTAACTTTAGTGGAAGAAGCCAAGAAACTTTCAATGTAAGTACAGCACATCATAATAATTATCTGGTTAGTATTAACCAGATAATTCTCCACTTAACGCCCCTCAAATATTTAGGTCATTCCCATTTTAGGTTCCCAGGTTTCATTTTTTCCACTTGGTGCACAAATATCAATTTCTTACCAATTTTTCCTTCACCACTTATCCAGCCAATATCCATAGTTTTATCGTTCGGTTTTTCCATTAAGTGATTGGAAAGGACAAAAGTTGGTATGGAACCATAGTTGTGTACCAAGAAGTGGAAAAATGGAAGTTCATCATCATCATCACCCCAGTGTCGCAAAGGCTCCTACCTACGGTGGGGTAAGGCTTGGTTTAAAAAAGCGCGCCTGAGGCGCGCAAAGGCGCGAGGCGCCTCTGGGCGATGACTTCATCGCATCCAAACATCCCAGGCGCAGCAGATTCCATAAGGCGCGCCTTTTACCTCGCCTAGTGCCGCTTTTTGCGCCTCTTTGAGGTGTCGCCTTTCACGCCTTATGGAGAATATGTCCGCTGACCTTCCTTCAAGCCTTTGGCGATTCATGCTGCTCGCCTAGACTTCACTCCATCAATTCAAAGTCTCAAACCTTCCGCTCTTTCTGTCGCAGATCATTGCCGTTTTTGTTTTTATTTTTCTTCCGTTCTCTTGTTTTTTTTGTTCGGCTGGGTACGTTTCTTTCTTCTGTTCTGTTTGTCTTTCTTCCTCTTGTTTTTCTATTCTTTATATTTTTATTTGTTAAATAAAAAAAAAAATCAAATTATGTAAATATATAACCATATAACAATCTTCCCTAAGCTTATTAAAAAAACAATCTTCCCTAAACCCTAATACCAATCCGAATTTTATCAATTTTAAAAAATAATAAATATGGTTTCTCAAATCTGTGAATCTGATTGTTTAACTTTATACTCTTGATATTTTATAAGTTTATTATATAACAATTAGTCAATTATATATGACAGCTTGTTGTTATTAATAATCTTTAATTCTTTATATACAAGTTTATTTTAAAATTTACTATTAATGGCTTAGGATTAGTAATAAGTATTAACAGTTTATTGTAAATACATTTACTATTAATAGAAGTATTTTTTAGAAAAGTGCTTCATGTAGAAGTTGTATAAATATATTTTACCAAAGATATGTGGTTTAGTTCAGTGAGGCGCGCGCCCCGTCGCCTTGCGCAGTTGCGCCTCACGCCTCTGGTAAATCGATGAATCGCCTCATGCCGCCTCGCGCCTTTTAAAACTAAGGGGTAAGGGGGGTCGGATGTACACAGTCTTATCCCTGTACTAAAGCACATAGACTGTTTCCGGATGACCCATAGTGAAAACCGCATAAAAAATTGCATGTCGAAAATTGCATGGACTGACTGCTGCTTCATAACAAAGAAGCGCAGACAATTTAGTGAGCCATTTTGCTTTATTCCATCATATTACCAAGCTAAAAAATAGTGATTTTTTTGGCTCCATTGCAAATGGAAGTTATATACCAAAAATGGAAATGACCTTATAGTCATGGGACTAAATTGAATAATTTTTAATAAAAATCTTCTTACTTCTCAGCTCAATTTGTTCACTCGTTTTGTTAAATGAAGGTGGTTGCATATGATTTTGGGATCAAGCAAAATATACTAAGGAGATTGGCTTCCTATGGTTGTAAAATTACCATTGTCCCTTCAACATGGCCTGCATCTGAAACACTGAAGATGAAACCTGATGGGGTACTTTTCAGCAACGGCCCTGGAGACCCCTCTGCAGTTCCTTATGCTGTCGAGACAGTGAAGGATATAATTGGAAAGGTTCCTGTCTTTGGCATTTGTATGGGCCATCAGTTGCTTGGTCAAGCTTTAGGTGGTAAAACCTTTAAAATGAAATTTGGTCACCATGGTGGAAATCATCCGGTCCGTAACCTTCGCAATGGAAGTGTTGAGATTAGTGCCCAGGTATAATAATGGGAGCCTGTTTGGGATAATTACTTTACCATGAAGTGTTCTCGTATTTAAGCACTTCATTTAAAAGCACTATTTTTTCTTAAATAAGCACTGAAAGTACTTTTTACTGTTCAAAAGTTTTTGTTCTTTTTTCCTGCTCAACGCTTTTTCTATGTAAAAGTATTTTCTTCCACTAAATAGCACTTATTCCTTGAAAATAAGTCATTTTAAAGGCAGTTTAAGTCTTTTTCTTTAGTTTTCGGGTCACTTGCTTAAATCTTTAAATACTACTGTATTGTTTTTGTCCAGATGTCATGTATTCTAATTTACTGACTAATGATAATATAATAATGCGGGGTAAAATAATAATATGCTCAGTTAAGATTCCTACAATCAAGAATTTTCAGTTTTTCTCTATGAATTGCGCTAAAATATTTTTCTTTGTATACTTGCTTTTGACCAAATGCAGAATCACAATTATGCAGTTGATATTGAGTCCCTCCCTGAAGGAGTAGAAGTAACTCATGTGAATTTGAACGATGGAAGCTGTGCGGGTCTGGCCTTTCCCCGACAAAAGTTGATGGCACTTCAATACCATCCTGAGGCATCGCCTGGACCCCATGATTCCGATAATGGTACTACATTCTTCCCTTCCTTAGCAGCAGCCCCCCTTATACAGTGTCATTATTTGTGTAGCCATTATCAGTAAGACTTATGCAAGACTAATCACTGTATTATGCATGATAAGTTGATAATACCTTCAGAACCAGTAAAAGATGTAAGGGCTAAATAAATAATTTAGGTGGTGTTTAAGCAGTAAATCATCATAGGCGGCCAAGAGTATTCGAGTCAATCCCATAGGCTATTCCTGGAAAGAGGAAAATGGCAAGGAATGGAGGGCATAATTCGTATAAGGAAATTGTTTTTTATGTTTGTTTTTCACTTCGAAATATGAAGGAAAATCATTATTTGTGTTTGTTATGTTTTTTCCTTCAGAATTTTACATGTGTATTTTGTTTGTCATTATGTATAATATGAATATTTAAATTAAATGGCTGTGAAAAAGCATTAAAATTGATCAATTGAAATTCAAACCAATTTTTTTCGAACAGCTCCTTTCCTTCAAAATACCTCTCTATTTTCTACCTTATTGTCTGTTTTGAATTATCTGGCAAAGGACCTCTGAAGGTTGAAATTAATGGCCAGAAGGTTGAAAATACGGGTTCAAAACGGACCTCTAAAGATGTGAAATTAAGGACCTACCAAGTATTTTGTAGAGTTTGAGAATATAACTCTTCTTTGATAAACACAAGTTGATGACTACATGGATCACATTTAATGCAAGACTGAGCATAGAATATGATCCGACAACTTCATAAACTTTCAGTGTCATGACCATAATCGTGAATGTGATAACAGATCATTTTATCTTTTATTTTACCATGGGTAAAAATGTGAAATGGGTGTGACCAGTTTAGTCAAAAGCGCATGCCTGAGCAATTTAATATTTCACGCCAGTGATATGCCTCAGGCACAAATAAAGCGCAATAAGCGCAGAGGCGCAGAAACGCATGCTTCCGAGTGTTGCTAGGAATGCTGAAACTAATATTGCTAATATAATATGCTCTCCTCTTTTAATGATGAATGATCCTTGAGAGTTGTGACTTGAGAATTGCGCTAGAATGTAACTGAAATTAGGTTTTAGTTTTACAATTTAGACTTGAGTTGTGGCTTCTGAATTGGTGTCCTGTAATTGTGAATCATGACTTTGTTCTTGTGAGTATGACTTTTTTAGTGCATGTAGTTCAATATGATATTGAATATATCATATTTGGTAATTCTAAAATAGTATGCATAATATTATCTAAGCGCCTCAGGCGATATGAGTACTTACGCGATATGGGTACTAAAAAAATCACGTACTTTCATCTTGTAACAAATTCACAAAAAAAAATAGTGTATGCATATGTGTGTATGTATGCATATATATTGATATATACATACAAATCACACGTACATACATACAGTGTTTGCTCAGAGACACACACAGTTATCTCTCCTTTGGATTCTGCCAGGCCCCAACCGTCTATGGGTCCCACCAGCCCCAGCTTCTCTGCTTATTCCTATTTTTGTTGAACGATCAAAATAATTAAGGTGAAGAAATGTAGGAAAGGAGCAAGAAGAAGCATTGCACGTAAACCTTAGGATTTATGACTTTATGTTTTGTAATTAGGATATTTAATTTGTTTAACACTAATGAGTACTCTGACGCTTCATCCGTCAATTATTTGCTACCTTACTGCTTAGAAAAGCTTTTAAAATATTTAAAGCAGCCCTAAAAACTGTGCGCCTCTTAGAAACTCGTCCCTCAAGCTGGTAAGGCTTACGATTCCCGCTATCGCGGAAAAGCTTAAGCCTGAGGATGCTTTTTTTTTGGAAAAATTGATAAGAATAATCCCACCTTTCACTGGTTTTCTCATAATAATCCCACATTTACATAATCCAAGAATAATCCCACCTTTGCACTTCATCTTCTTTCATTGGACCCTGACCTATTGATAACCTACATTGGTGGGATTATTTATAAGATTTTCAAAAAAAAGGTCCAATGAAAGAAGATAGGGTGCAAAGATGGGATTATTCTGAGATTATGTAAAGGTGAGATTATTATGAGAAGACCAGTGAAAGGTGGGATTATTCTTATCAATTTTTCCTTCTTTTTTTTGCATGAGGCATTGCGCCTTGAACGCCTTTTTTAAAGTGTGTGTGTGTGCGAGTGGTGATTCCCATTAGAAATGTGAAATATCCACTCTTAGTTTCTTAAAGTCACTTTTACGTTAGCCATGCAACTTTAGTTCAGTTTATTTATGGAAATGTCACCGTGATTTTATCATTTTGTTGCATATGTTTGTACTTTGTACATTTAGAGCCATTCAGTCTCATTTCTCTTGAGAGTGACTTTTTATTTGAACCAATTTGTTTGGAGGGATCATGCAACTCCTAGTTTTAACGAAATGGTTTCAATGTAGTATTTGGGGAGTTTGTTCAACTGATGAAGAACGAGAAACAAAGGGCATAAGCGGTAATCTTTGCAGCAAGTTCCCACCGTATATGAAAGAGCAAAGGGGCAGAGACTTGATAGCAAGCAGAGAGGGGCTGTTAGCTAGTTGCTCTAAGCTGAGGGAGATTTCGATGTTATTATAACACCCACCCATCACTTTGGATAGTTTGTGCCACTTTTCTTTTCGCATTATTGTTATTGTTTATGTATTATAAGTGCAATACTTTATCAATAATTTGGCTGTGGTTTGGCAACAAGACTGCCGCCTACTCGGTATGAAATTTCCTTGTTGATCAGAATCGAAAACATCTGCTAATTAGCAGCTTCAGACCTTTTGCTTAACAAATAAATATCCCCTGGATTTTTGTTTGGGAAAGACTTAAGTAGAAGTAAAATATACTAGTAGCAATTATATAAATGAGAACTTAAACTTAATCGTCTATATAATGGTGCTACTTAGGGATGGACTGGGCCCGGGTGGCCTGATCCGGGACCGACCCGGAACTATTACTATTTGGACCCGTCCTGAGATTGTTTTCCAGTATTGATACTGGCCCAATACTCAGACCGGCGTAGAAATGGGACGGGCTCGGGTTTGATTTTTTGGGACTGGACTAGCCGGTCCCGGGCCTGGTCCCAATTGATATATTTTGAAAAAAAAGTTCAGGGTGAGCCCAACTTGAGACCGGTACTATTTGGGCCCGGCCCGGAACTGGTACTAACCAAATCGGGTCGATATCAGGCTTCAATTATTTAGAACCGGGACCAACCAGGCCCGAGCCACACTAGGACTGACTCGGCTCCATGCCTAGTGCTACTGCCGGTTCTATGAGCCGCTAATGCCAAATCTCTACCTACCACTGCGGGGCCTGTGGGTATGTCTGTCCACATTTCCTGGCTAGAAAACCGAGCCAAAAGTAAAGATTTTGGATCCAAATTTTGGGGAATTGCACAGTAGTCGGTACCTGTTTCAAAATCAGTGGTTACATGTTTTGACTTTGATTTTTTATTTTTCAATTTGATAATTTAGTTAATATTTTTAAAATACAGTAAGTAATACTCTTGTTGTCCTCTTATCTTTGTTTGATTTTACATTTTTGTCTGTCCTATTGCCTCATCATCAGGTGTGGACTCGGGCCGGTTCGGGCCCGGTCCGGGCCTAGGCCCGGTCGGGCCGGCGGTTCAGGAATGGGGGGCCCGGAACCGGCCCGGGTGGCGGGTACTCCCCGTGTCGGGCCGGGCCTCGGGCCTTAGTTTTTTTCCCCTTTTCCTAGTTAACCCCCCCACCCCCAAACCACCCCAAATGGCCCAAAATACCCAGCCCAACCCGAAAACAAAAAAAATTGAAGAAAAAAAAAAACGAACCGGAACCTGCTTGAACCGGCCGGGCCGGTTTGTGATTTAGGGGGCCCGAGCCCGGACCGGAACCCCAGCGGGTCGGGCCTACCCGGACCGTTCACTGACCGGGCCACCGGGCCGGAACAGTGCCGGTTCCGGATCGGGCCACCCGGCCCGAGTCCACCACTGCTCATCATATATGCTAATATTTCAGTGTAGTCATGGACCCGGGCCGGGCCGGTTCCGGTTCCGGACCGGGCCCGGCCGGGCTTTTTTTTTGGGAAGGAAGGCCCGGGACCGGCCCGGGTGGCCACCGGGTCCGGTCCGGGTCCGGGCCGGGCCGGACCGGGCCTCCGGTTCGGTCATTTTTTTTTTTTTTTTTTTTTTTTTGCTTTCCTAACCCCCCCACTCACCCCCCAAACCCCCAAACCCCTCCTAACCATCAAGCCCAACTTGGCTAACCCCAAAAAAAGAAAAGAAAAAAAAAGAGAAAAAAAAATCAATTTGGCCCGGGCCCGGGCCCGACCCGGCCGGTTCGCCAAATACAAGGCCCGAGCCTGGACCCGCCCACCCCACCGGGCCTAGGCCCGACCCGGACCCGAGAACCGGGCCGGTTCCGGGCTCGCACAGTGGCGGGCCGAGCCGGTCCCGGGCCGGGCGGCCCGAACCGGGTCCATGCCTATTTCAGTGGTTGAAATTGTTTTGAATAAATTCAATATCAAGCACAAAACTTCATTTTTTAATGATACTTGGTTATACATTTTGCACTCGGTATGATTGTATGATGATAAAAAATTGGAGCATCTTACTATACGGTGTTTATTAATGATCAAACATTCGAAGTGTTCTTTCCTGTGTTTATTAGTTTATTGATAATCAAAAGCATCTTATTCTGCTTATCAACAAATAAGCTGATACGAATATACGAAGTGTTCTTGACTGGAGAATAATCATCTTATTCTCCTTGTTACCTTGCTGAATAAGTTTTACATACGAAGTGTTTTTTCCTTTAAGAAAATTCAATACATTCAATCACATAACCTTTAGCACATCAATACTAACCATACCCCCAGCCTCTTTGTGCCTTTAAACTAATGCAAAATGATGATATATACATCTCAAAAAGAAACACTAGACCTTATATTGAAGTTAGTAGACTAGGGGAAAAAATGCATCTCAATCCGAGGTGATCCAGATACCCTTCCCTCTAGAACAGTATTTGCAAGGTCTCGTAGTGCTTTTATGCACACAATGGATCTAATGAAATTGCAACCTGTATATTGTGACTACACTAGAAGTGAGACAATCAGATCACCACAACATGAAATATGCCAAGTAGGAGCGAGCGAGCAAACGCGGGCCATTTCAGTCTAATTTATCCTATTTTTAAAAAACATTCAAAAGCACTGAATCGGTTATCCTTTCCTATTTTGACAGAACTGGAATTGTTTAGGACCAGTTTAGAGTTCTAGTTCCTGTCCAGAACCGCAAATATGGGCTTCAGTTCTCTCCCTTTACTCAAGAGTCAAGAGGTTTTGGTCCTGTTCGAAAACCGGGACTATGTGTCTATGTCCAGGCATCCAGCTTATCAACAAGAGGCTCAGGAAATTGAATGTCTCCAACGGGTATGAACATAGCTGATTCGGAAGGGGAAAGCACAAAAGCCTACCCCGATTAGCGCTCGCTTAGGTTTGGTCTGAAAGGGTTGAGTAGAAGAGGATAGGCAAGGTCAACACTACAAAAAAAAAGGAAGCAAAGAGTCCTTTTAACGATAAATAATAGTAGCAAATATACAGGTCACAGAACATTGGAACAATGTAGACAATTATAAACAACATATATGATATACCCGATAATAGAGCTCTCTACAAACTGAAACGGTATGTATATACCGGCCACAGAACAATGTAACCGGAGATCGAAGCTTAAACCTCAAGGTTCTATGGGAAATACCTTCTCTAAAAAGTTAATAAAGCGTTTAGAATAGACGCTGGGTTTAACGGCAGAAATTGACATGGGATCAACCAACATGGACTTGTAAGCGTGCTCTAACTTCTTTTTCATGTTGTATTCCTGCAAGATGTCAATTATGCCCATATACAGAACTACATCATACACCTCAAACAGTTCAACTTCGGCTGAACCATCAACCCCATCCTGCATAACCTTGTGGGTTGCTTCAGCTGGCATGTGCACACCTAACTGCACCCTCAACCTCAACAAAACAAAGAAAACAAAATCAATTTTAACATAATTATACGGTCACTTGGCCCTAGTTAATTTGTTGGAGGACTTTTGAGTGTTTGTTTGGAGGAGTTAAGAGGTAGGTGGAGGAATGTGGGTGATCAATGGACTCATCCAAACTCCTCATATCTCACAAGCACCTCCAATTCGGTGGGATTTGGAGGAATAATATTTTTTTCCACATCTTCAATTATTTATTTATTAATGAATTTATATTCAAATCAATTTTATTGGACATTATTATAGTTATATATAGATTATTGTATTTGTAAATGTAACAGAAAATACCCCCTCTGTCAGTCTGTCCAAAGCAAAAAAAATCCATATTTCACACATTTCTTTTGTCCTGCATATCAGTCTTCGTTTGATCAAACAAAGCTACTTCCATATGCAAATGATCAAAGAAGTGAGATAGGAAAATGTAATTAAATCAAGAAATGAATTCAAAAATTACAAGTATATTATGAAAAACTTAAAATTTACGGAGTATATCTTAATTAAACATCCTCTTTCCTTTGTAGAAGAGTTAATATAATGTTCAATGCATTTTCCCCTAAAATATCTATGACTCCGAACTCCACTTTTTGGCTCCTCTAGCACTACAAAGGAGGAGAAAAATACCTTCCCGTGCCTGGTAAAAGGAGATCAACCTCTTTATCACCGAGTGAGCACGCTTTCAATGTATTTCCTCGACAATGGGGACCAGGTTCATTGTTAGCTGCGGAAGGCTCATGGGTTACTAAAAGCAACCCCCTTGGAGGAATTGACATCTCGCCCTGAGAGGCCACCCCTTGAATAAAACAAAAGTAAACATAGTTAAAGTAACATAAATATAAAAATGGAACTAAAGAAAAATTGAAACATTGTGGTGGGAATCAATTTCTACCATCACTTATCGAAGTAGTACTAGTAGTAGTGTCAGCTTTGTGCATGGAATCAGGTGGCTCTAAAAGTGTCATGAGATGTTCAGGAGCTCTAAAGTGCAACCCCAATAAAAGGCTATAATCAATTATTTGTTGTGCTTCTAAAAACTGGCAGTCCAGAGATAATTGCCTGCACAAAAGATAAAAAAGATTTTTGGCTCACAAAAAATGCTACAGAAAAGGATAGTATTGCCAAGGAAAATTACTTCATTGTGTTTGGTTTACCTTGGAAAATGCAAAAGGATAATGAATTGTAATTTGGTGTTTTAAAAAAATATACTTGTATTTAGCTTTTAGTCTTCTTTAGTTGGATAGTTTTCTTAGTCTTTACATTATAGAAATAGATAAATAAAATGAGCTAGAACAAATATCTAAAATGAATTTGTTGAATTGAAACCAGTGTTTCATTTTTCCTTCACATATTTCTTTTCTTTCATATTTCCCTCATATATTCCTCCTTAGTTTCGTTCATCATTTTCCAAGTTCCAAATAGACCCTAAAAGAAAGCTATAATAAGTTCACTTTTTATCTTTTCTTAGCTGTTAAACAGGGAAACTGTCAGCTACAAAGAAACTTCTTTTTTACATTTGTACTTTTTTAGGAAGCACGTGCAAATATCTATGTAGCAGAGAAACTCTCGGGAAAGAGTACGGTTCTGTTTCGGAAACTCTTTGGAAGCTCTTCAAACAAGCGTTTTTTTGAGCAAAAGTTGACGTTTCCCGTTTCCTCACGATTTTCGCGTTTCCGTGCAACATAGCATGCAATCATTATCATGCCAGCTAGCAAGGGTAGGCAAATTGGCTGGAATACTCCACTTCAGTGTACACTTTTGTTTGACTTGCATGCAATTTTAGAAAGCAGTAATGTAGCATGTTCAGGTTTAGACATATCTTTACTCTTTAGATTGACTTTGTTATTGGCTTTCTTTAGTT